TTTTATTTGTCACGAACCACAATGGTTTTCTTTTTCTTTAAAGCTGGTCTGTCCTGTCTTTGTGGTATTTTATAGCAGTCTGTTTGGTCTTCCGAAACCACAAACAGAAACAATAGTCTGTCCTATGGCTTGTCTGTGCCCTGGTGGTTTATTGAGTCATCTGAAAGTGGAAAGCGATCCATCCAGAGAATGGTTTGGCAAGGGAATCCCATTGCCACACATGTCAAGCAGCTAGCCGGCAAGTGCCACCACCATTTTTGCATGGTTGTCAGAGGCATCCCTGCTTTTTTACCTGCCTTCTGCCTTCAAGATCTTCTTTGGAGCAGAACCTGTGCTCAGTGGGGAGGTGTAATGGAAAGGAGCTGCTCCCTCCAGCTGATTGGCCTGCTGGTGCATGAAGGAAGCCCTCACATGCATGACCAAGAGCGGCAAGAATCAGGTGGTGCTGCCCAGTTATGGACAATGCCACTTGGCTGATTGTCCCACTCATCGCCCTTTCTCTCTGCTGCTTGCAAGAGAGGTGGGAGCCCAATCCAAGACCAAGCCAGATGCCTTTTGCAAGCTGCAGCCATGAGGGAAAGGCAGTGCTGACCCACCTGCCTTTCTCATTTCTGCTTGCCAGGGAGGTGTCCCCAAACTGATGCCCTTTTGATGCCCAATAAACCTGAGTGTCTTTCCTGTGAGTGGCTATGAAGTGGGAGAGGTGGGTTAGAGTTGCTCCTCTGGCAAGCAGGCATGAGAATGAGGGCAGCAGGGGAATCAGCTGAGCTACATAGGCCCCATCCAGGCACAATCACCCAACAGACTCCCCCCCCCGCCCCCACCCAAGCATGGTAAGGAGCAAGCAGGGCAGCAGAGGGTGAATCTGCTGGTTGGCACAGCTCCTTTCTGCAGTACTGCCTAACTGGAGACAAGGGTGCCTGTTCAGCTTTGTCAACGTCTCTTCTGTGCCTCAGGACATGAGTCCTACTTGCACAACAGAGACTGTCTGACCTCTGTGGGGAACTGAATCAGGCTTGTGACTGTGGCTGTCAAAAGGAGAGGCCTCATTCCTCCCCAGTGTCTCCTGGGATACCACCTGGAGAACCAAGAGAGAAGGAGGTGGCAGGAGGGAGAAACGTTCCCTCCATGAGCCTGATCATTTCAGGAACACCGAGATTAAGAAAAGGGGAACTGCAGATACCATTCCTGTCATGCCATAAGAAGCCAGCCAATGGCTGTACCTGAGTAGGTTTTAATTCAAAACAAAACTATCCTTGCATTTAAAATATCATAAGTGGTTCTAGTATGACAATACTTCTCTTAAGCTGCAATTAGACATAAACCCATCCTGAACTCAGTGGGACTTAGTTCTGCGTGAACATGTGTAATATTGTGCTGTGGCTTGTTTAAATATTCAGACCAGAAATAGAAGCAAGTTCATTTATCTGCTGACTCTTTTCATTGTTTTGATTTTGTTTAGTCTTGAATTTGCTTGATAATTTTAATTTTTTAAATTAAGTTAAACTGGCTTAGGTCCTAATTAGCAGAAAGATAACTTATGAGTGACCAAAAAGCAAACTCTTGTGAGGAACCCAGGGGCTTACGTAGCTCCATTTTTATCAGAACAACCACCTTGTGAGGTATGTTAGGCTAAGAGAGAATGCCTGGCTGAAAGTCATCCAGCAAGAGTTAAGGTCAAGTGAGAAGTAGAACCTGGATCTCCCTGGTCCCTAGTCTGACATTCTAACCACCACACCCTGCTGCCTGGTTACATAAGAGCTTAAGACTAAGGGCTTCCAAGGCATCTATTGTGATGTTATGATTCTTCATTCATACAAGTGTGCAGGTCCTTTCCATGGTGTTGTCATCCTTCATGTTTTCCATCCATTTTTGTGGAGGTTTTAGCATGAACACATTCTGGTGTCAAGTTTTGAAGCAGAACAAGTCACTGATCCCCATACTGCAGTTACACCATTTCGGCTCAGCCTTCTCCCAGAAGAGGGTCTACAACCTCCCTGGGAATGGTGAAGTACAAGCTGAAGGGGCAGGATTGCAGCTTGAGATTGGTAGACAAATGGTCAAGGAACACCTCAGTAGATTGAACAAGTTCAAATCTCCAGGGCTCAATGAACTGCATCCTAAAATAATACAGGAACTGACAGAAGAACTCTCAGAACCACTGCATATTATCTTTGAGAACTCACCAAGTATGGGGAAACTGTCAGACAACCGGAGAAAGGCTAAAGCTGTCCCTACCTTCATAAAGGGAAGGGGGCCCCTGAGAAATATAGACCAGTCAGTCTGACATTGCTGGAAAAATTCTGGAGCATGAAACAGCCAGTCTGCAACACCTTGAAAATAATGCACTCATTACAAAAAGCTAACATGGAATTGTCAAGAACAACTCCTGCCAAACTAACCTGATCATATTTTTTGACTGGGTTACTGCCCTAGAAGACTGTAGGAATGCTGTGGACATAATATATCTTGACTTTAGCAAAGCTTTTGACAAAGTGCCCCATGATATCTTGATTAGCAAACCAGTCAAAAGTGGGCAAGATGGAACTAGTATCAGGTGGATCCACAGCTGGCTACAGAATCAGACCCAGAGTGCTCTTCAATACGACCTTCGGTAACTGGGAAGAGGAAACAAGGGGGTGCTGCAGGGTTCAGTACTCAGCCCAGTACTGAATGTCTTCAATGTTGTTGTTAATGAATTGGATGAGGAGGTGTTGAGAATGTGTATCAGACTTGCAGATGGCACAAAATTGGATGGAATAGCTAATACCCTAGAAGACAGAGACAAAATACAAATTGATCTTGATAGGTTGAAACACAGATAAAAACAACAGGGACAGATGCCAGATCCTACACCTAACAAGAAACCAAATATGTACTTGACTCAACAATACTGCAAGTGAGAAGGATCTTAGAATTGTTGTAGATCACAGGCTGAATATGAGTCAACAATGTGATGCAGCTGCAAAAAAGGGAAAATTATATTTTGGACTGCATTAATAGAAGCATCACTTCCAAATCATGTGAAATACTAGTTCCCCTCTAATCAGCACTGGCTAGGCCTCTCTGGAGTAGACTGTCCAGTTCTGGGCACCACAGTTTAAGAAAAATGCAGAAAAGCTGGAAAAGGTCTAGGAGGGGGCAAGACAGACATCAAGGGACTGGAAGCAAAGCTGTATGAAAAGAGTCTAGAAAACACTGGATATGCTTAGACTGGTGAAGAAAAGATGGAGAAAAGATATCATAACATATCCTGTACTTGAAAAGCTGTCAGAGAGAGGAAGACCAGGGACTCTTCTTAATCATCCCAGAGTACAGTGCATAGAATAATGGGTACAATACACAAGAAGCCGGATTCTGGCTGAATATCAGAAAAAGCTTCCTGATTGTTAGAGATGGAACCAATTACCAAGAAAGTCATGCCCTGTCCCACACTGGAGGCGTTCAAGAAGCATCTGGACAGCCATTTAATAGAGGTGCTTTAACTTGGAGTCCTGCATTGGGTAGGGTGTTGGACCCAGTAGCCTCACTGTCCTTCATGTGTTACAAGAACTAGGCTGAAATCATGTGTTGATTGCATTAGACTGGGTTATGGCTCTTGTGAGCTTAAAATTAGTAAACAGCCTGGTGATGGTCACTCCTAGATAGAAATCACTTTGTGTCTGGGCTGTGCATGCATATTTACTTTTCCCATTGCTGTGATTGAACTAATCAAATGCTATTTGAGTGTGTGGTGTTTTTAAATCTGACCTTGCTATGTGACTTAATGTTGCTGCTGCCACAGCAAGATGGCTTGCTGAGTTGTCTTGCAGTGTTGCAAAGACTCAACTTTCTTGAGATCCTTAAAGCAAGTTCACCAGATTTTCCCTCCAAAATCCACCTAGCACCTTGCCAGCTTCTTATGTTCAAAGCATATCTGCTTCCTTTATCTTAAGCTCATCTGCCATAAGCTTCCTTTTCTTTTGCCTGAGAAGAAACTAGAAAGAGCAGGTTGTGTGCATTCCAATTACGATTGTATGTAGCATCCCCTACTATACATACAAGTGAACATCCCCAGGGATGTTTCTAGTGAAGCACTTTAAAGCAGGGGCAGACAACTTTTGTGGTTGTTGGCACATCTGGCAATTTGAAAAATTGTTGAGTACACCCCTACAAGTCAGCAGTCAGGGGAAGTATGGCTAGCTACAAATGACAAGTAATGCTTTTTGTGTCCCAACATGCAGTACAACTCATTCAAACCCACACTTTTTTACTGTAACAGAATTAATTGCAATTGCCATTAAAAAGTGTGAGGCATAGGGCACCTGAGTGGGCAGGAAGAAAAATGTTACCTAAGTTAGCAAACTGATAAAAGGCATCACTGGAAATTATCTGACATGCATACAAAGTAATTACACCACTGAAACCATCCTAAATCATTTCTGACCAGATGTATAAAGGATCTCTAGCCACCTTGAAAAGTATCAGGTTTGTTTTGCTTAATTGCTTTTTTCAAACAGAGGTTAATTTACCTTTCTTCTTCCTATCTGATTTACCAACCACTCTGGTCTCTTCTGATAATCAACATTCTGTGATTTTGTTTTAAATCTGTGTCCTTTCTGCTCAAAATGCAAACCAGATGATATAGCGAAAGTCCTATATCATTGCAAACTATCTGGACTGGAGTTCTGAGCAATTTGCATCAGTGCACCAGTAAGGAAACAGTTAATGGTTACAAAATATATGTGCATGTATGGTCATTTCCTGATCCTCAGAGCACTGAGAAACAACATCTTACAACTTACTTTGCATCACATGTGGCTCCAGAATGCCATGAATAACACACATCAAAGCAGGTAACTGATTACTTCTTTGTTTATAAGAATAACTTTAGTTAGAATAATACTTTCATACAATGAAATTTGGGCATTTTTGCATGTTCATTATTTAATTCTGTTACCATCAATCATATTAATCAATGATAATTTAACCAATTATAAATTATCAAAGCATTTGACATAGCAACTTGTAATCAACATCTAATTGTAGATAAGAAGAATATGTTATTAAGTAGCCACAAGTATTTGAATTAAACTTGCAGCTCATGTTCAGGGATATTGTGTAAGGGCACTATTTTAAAGCAAAGCTGTATTTTAATTCAAGCACAAATGAAATCTTTCTATGTATCTATATTTCAGGCAGGCACAGGATATGATGTTTCAGAGTAATTTTGAAATTGCTGTTCTGGGGTGGGGTGAGGTGAGAGTTGAAGGATTACAAGGCACATGAGAATAACTATCATACACCATTAACTGAAGAAAAGATGTTTCAGTCTCCCATCACTATGAAAGCTGAACTGTAATTTTAAAACATACTGAGAAAGAAAGACAGACAGACAGACCAACAGGAACTCACAGAGTCTTAAAGAAAAATATGCTTGTGTCTTTTATGTAGGATTAAACAATCTACTGAAAATGGCTTTTACAGTCTTCTCTAAAATGTAACTTTTTGCACAGTTGCTGATCAATGGAAATGTTCAGGTACTAAAAATTTTGCTTTGTTTTTTAACTGTTCCCTAAAGTCCACACCATCATTCATTTGTAACGTTTTACTGTCTATCTACTTCAACACAATTGTTCTCGTTGGTTATAGAGCATGTTCAGGAGAGAGAGCTTAGAGTGTTGGGTTGGGGCAAATGAAACACAGAGTCAGTTCTCTGCTCTACTATAAAACACCTGAGTGACTTAAGGATAGTCATCTTCTGTCAGCTTAACCTACCTCACAGGGTTGTAACAAGGGTAGACGGAGAGGCAGAGGCAGCAGAGAGGTTTCATGTTAGAGGGATGGAATAAATATCTAAGAAAGGCTGGAGACAGGTAATCATTTTTAACAGGGTTGAAAGTTAATTTAATATTATTTGTGTATTTGTGCTTCTCAAGATATATGTGCACACTGGCCTCTGCTATATCTTGTGAATTTGTATATTGAATGGTATTTTTGCTCATTCTTGATACATCCCTCATCTGTACACATTTCTTGGATCGTATGAGTCACCTTTCAGCAAAGGGTTTTGCCAAGTTTTTGATACCAAAAACAAGCAAGCAGGCATCCTTGCTGTCCTTTCTATGATGCAAATAATGCCTTCCTTATCTTTGCAATGTCTTTGCAAAGAACATCACCTTTGTTTGTTTGTTTGGCTCTATTATAAGCTTCACTGGGGTGTTCTTGCCAAGTGGCAGGTGGAATGTGTGTTGTGGGAAAACTGTATCTGCAGTTTCTCCTGAATGAGGAAAGGAGAGTCAAAATGTTGGAATATATAAAAGCACAGCTGTATGAAACAGCTAATCAGCTTCTGATCAGAGGAGATGGAGTAGTCTGCTGGATAAAAGATTAAGACTAGAAGCTTGGGCCCATGTTCGTTCATGCAGGTCGTCTAAAAGAAGAACCCAACTATTATACTTCTTTCATTAGAAGCAGTATGGTTCTTCACTCTTCAGCTGGTGAGCATGTCCCGCCAATTAATCTTTTGTAATACAAGGATTTAAAAACTGTAGTTTCTTTGTGCGCACACTTGCTTACTGTGTGCATATGGACACAAAGTAGATGTGTTATCACATACCCTTGTTCACAGAGACATGTAAGCGCCACACGTACTTGTGTAACAACCTTCTAGGGTCTGAGAGGGCCTTCAACTAGAGGAGTGGTATGCACACAGCAGACATGTAGTATGCTGTTACTAAAATGACAAATATGTACTACACAAATGAGGAAATTGGCTTAAACGTATGTTCAAACTGCAGAAACAGGAAAGTGATCTTTTACAGACATTTATTGTTAAAAACAAAGAGTAAGCCTGCAGTGCACTTGGTCACTTTTTCTCCCACACTGTGGTGAGAGGTCTTGAATATCAAGCTAAATTATAGTTACTATTTCTAAATGGACACCTACAGATATAAACCTGCATATGCACATTGGTGTTCTCCTTGCCCTTTTCTGGATTATGATGCTTCATTTCTTTACTTAGTTTTAGCAACATCTAAGTGGCCAGCCTAGTGGGAACTTTTGCTTTTATCAAACAAGGAGGAAAAGGTGGTACTAGGAAAATGATGGAACAGGGTGATAGGAAGACCCTGATAGAAAGCTTGGACAATAATTAAAATGATGGGCTTCTGCGGTGGAAATAGATAGATTTAAGAGGAAAAGAAGAGAAATAGAGCAGGACTTGCAAAATGTACCTGATTTCTGAAGAAAGGGCCTAAAAACGATTTCATTTCTTTGTTGGTTACCAAGAATTAGAAAAAAGCTCTGGGCACAGGCTACCCAGAGCTTAACCAGCTTTAATCCAACATTTTAACATGGGGCAATAGTTCCATGCCCCTGCAGCCTTGTTGAATGCAAACTGTGCCATGTTGTCCACAGCCAAAAAGGCAAGGATTGACATTACAGGCTCGGCCATTAGCAGGTTCATTGGAGCCAACCCAATCTGGGTTACAACTTGAGTTAGGGGGCATGTCTAGCCAATGGGACTGTTTCTTAGAGTTTCCAAGTGAACACAGAAATTAAGGATTCAGCCAGAGAGTTTTTAGCACACTTCCCTCAGGCAGGATCCAACTGGATGCTTCTGTTCCTGCTGATTTCCTTCTACCTCAACAATTTCCTTCTGCAAGCTGTGGGACCTGATGACACTGTTTCACGAGGAGGACCCAAAGCCTATGAAAAAGAGATTTCAAGCTTGCCAGAAGAAGAGTAGAGAGTGGGCCAGTTTCTGACTCATTGCAGACTGTCAGTGGATTCTGAAAAAAAGGAAGAGCAGCAGCAGCAGCAGCAGATGAAGGGCAGGGGAAGCCTCTGAAACTCTGTAACTGTGTGTAGTGAAGTTTCTGAGGCTGAAGATGACAGTCCATGGTTTTGGAAGGGGAGGCAAGTTTTTCAGGATGGGGGGAGCATGTGCTGTCTTACCCTCAATCAGGGAGGGCCACCCAGAGCCACCCTGAAGTTTTACTGAAAGGGATGGATGGGGGAAGTTTCCAGTTTGCATTCAACTCTTTACATGAGCAGAAGCTTCTCTTTTTGGTAGAAAGCTATTTAGAGCTCAAATCGTTCTGTTATTTGTGGAATCTAATTAAAAGAATTGCATTTTCAAAGAATTTTCTTGAGTTTCAGACCCAGAGGGAAGGGACCATGGCAAATTCAGTGAAAATGCCCCTTTCTGGTAGTAGGCAGGCTAATGGAACATCTTCACTTCTGCTCATTTCTGGTTGTCCTAAAAGTGTTAGATCAACATTGCACCAGTGTTGGGCATAATGGAATTGGTGGGACGTAAAATAATTGGCAGGGTTTTAAGCATCCCATTGAATTCTGCCCTTTTAACCCAATTCTACACTTTGAGGCTCAGAATGTGCAACTCCCACATGTTGTGGACCTCTTATTAAGCACCATTAGGCTAGCATTCTGCAATTAGGTATAGAACTTGGCCCTGCTCCTTTCCGGGTATAAGGGCCAAACAGACCAGGAAGGGATGTAGATTCTGTGTTGGAAATATGAAATAGGCATAGTGTGCAACAGATAATCAGGCAATGAAAGACCCATGAGAAACACTATTAAAACAACTGGACCTTGGTTTATTCTTAGAGCTGAGATGCATCAGTGTAGGACAATGATTTTCAACCTTCCCATGGCTGGAGACTAGCAAAAATAGGAAAATCCCCTCAGAGACCGCTGAGGCAGAAACAGAAACCACCATACACATAATACATAGTATTCTGTGTATTAGTTTCCAAACACAATGCCAAAATGAAAATCCCCCAAAACAACCAGTAACCGAGCAACAAAAATGCTGACAAAAGAACAAAATAATGGAATTGGTGCAGCGTGGCTCTCAGCTGGCTCCCACCGAGCCACCTCTCCCCTCTCTCCCCCCCCACCCCTTGGCACCAGGGCACATCCTGTGATGCCAACTGAGGAAGAAGTAGTAGAGGACAGCCAGCCCCCATGCTGGTCCATGGCAAGCAGGATGCCCCCTGCCCCATGGACAGGCAGGAAATTGCAGAGTGGTGGTTGAAAACCCGCTGGTATAGGAGAATCCCAAGGAGAATGTTTGAACATCAAAACCTGTGCTGATATCCACTAATTCTGTAGTTTGAACATTGCACCCTCATTTACATTCACAAAATCCCTTTTGTTAACATTTCCCAAGGTTTCTGTTGGTACTCGTGATATTAAGACCATGATGCCTAATATAATCTATAAAAGTCTGTGATTTCTGGTGCTTGTAATAGGCAGTTCTAAGCACATTAGACTTAAGTACGACCAAGTAATAGAAATGGATCTTATTCTATCCATGGTTTAAATAATCCCCAGTGGGTTGTTGTGCGGTGAAAACTGGCCTATTGTTTCTTTACTGCTCTAGTATATGGCTAAAGTTAATTAGCATATCCATTTACTGACTGGGCAGGTTATATGGTCTGAAAGTTACTTTCAAATTTCCACTCTGCTGTTCTTCAGTTCTAGCGATGCATGTTCCAATTTGCATGACTCTTTGATGCAAACCTTTTCAAACACTTCCTTATTTTTTTCTGTTCTGTGGCTTGAAGGTCTATTTTTTTGGCATGAATCTTTCAGTGCCAGGCACATGCAGCTGCTGCATGAAGACTGTTTTCAATCTCTCCACCCAGCAACCGCTCTCACGCGGCAAGCAGTGGTGATGCAGCGACACCCTCTGCATCATCCTGCGAGACCATAAAAGTGAGGTCTATGGTGTAGGTGGACAGCAGCCTTTTCTGACCTGTTTGGGACTCAGACCTCCAGCATGCTTCAGCCAGGCAACTACCAGTAGGGTTGCTCATTGCACATCACCCTAATGCAAAAACAAGAAGAAACACATTGCCCCAGAAGAGACCACAAAGCACCAATTTGCATAACATGTGTGCATGCAAGTCCGTGTGCATAAGTGCAAATGAAGAAGTTGACTTATAGGTGGAAACTTATAGGTGTGTAAGGGGATGTCATGTGGCGGAGGGCTGTGACCTGTTCTTCTCTGCAGTGAAGGGCAGGATGCGTTCCAATGGGGCAAAGTGCTAAGAACCAGGCTTCAGGTGGGATATCAGGAAGCACTTCCTCATGGTTAGGACCCTAGGATATGGCATGAGCTACCAAGGGACGTGGTGGAGGCCCCATCAGTGAGACTATTCAAGGAAAGATTGGACAACCACATATTGGGGATTACATGACTGGAGCCAGCTAGAGCTGGGGGTCAGACTAGATGGCCCAGGAGACCCTTCTGACTCACTTTTTTCTATGTTTCTGCTATACCTTAAATAGAAATGCAATATATCTCCCCACTGGAGGAAAAAGTCTGACTAGGTTAGCTGGGTTGTTATCTAGGTGGTAACTGTGAATGGGCAATGCTTGAGACCCATCCATGCTTACTCATCCTCTGGTTCTTTATCTTTAAACCAGAACATCTTCAAATGCAGGACACCTTTTAGGCTTGTCTCCTGCCACTTGTCCTGGGTAAAGCAGCACACTTGGACACACTATG